AAAGATAAAATAAGATAAAATAAGATAATAAGATAAAGTAATGCCCACTGGGCATTAGTGGGCATTGGTGTACAAGATTATGGTCAGCGGTTTTCCCCTCGATAAAATTATTTTTGAAAATTGCATAAGAAAACATATCAAAAATTATTTACACTGAAATATCGCACGTCACGTGAATCTATATAGATAATTGCGGGGAATAAGAAAAGATATGTTATATTTTATACGAGCGTAATTACGAAACGCAAGGGTTAAACAAATAATTAGATAAATCACAAACTCGATCAACGGTGGTTGTGGTTTTAAATAAACTTGATTGTCACATACATGGACGCCGATAATGTTCGGCTATCGCTTGATTAATCGCTTGATTAAAGGTCGCCAGCGAGAGAACCTTTAGGTTAGCATCGCCTACTCCAAGCTAATTAACTCTCGACATGCGCGACAAATCAATCGAGTGGTAGAGTCTTTCAACCGGTCTCAAATTGGATCCGTGCGGAAGCATCACGAGCGAGAGGATATTGAACCGAGGAGATGACAAAGTTCAAATGAACGCGGAAGACGTGTGTCAATCCGCGTTATAAAATTATTTCATTACTATAAAGGCAAACGAATACTTATTAAACGTGATTGTATTATAACACGGTGAGAGAATGAACGTTGTTTACGAGATGCAATTAGATGATAAAATCTCGTTAAATATATTATACAATTTACATTCATTATGGATATTATTTCTTCGGAATCTTGATTTATGCTTTAATTATTTGTTGTTGGGAAGATTAATTAAAAATTGTAGTAAATAGCCTTATCAAGAAAGTTCCCTCGGAAACTATCGACTTAAGATTCATCATTAAAATTACGATCCAGAGTTGTTCAAACTCGCCCTATCTAATCACCATGTTTTATTTTTCTCTATCATACTTCTTCGGCCGAACGCGCGCAAACTTTTCGAACAAACTCCCCCGGATAATTTCTTACCAAAGTGTGCGAAAAACAGAATAAAAGGAATAAATTAACAGCGCGACACGATAGATTAAATTTACAAAAAGGGAGCGCAGGGCGCGTTTTCCTCGTACAGAAATCGCAAAAGCTCTCTGACGCCGGCGCTTTATACATATATACTACGGCTTAACTATCCTTTGATATTATCTCCAACATTGCCTCTACTTTGTCTCTACCAACGACTCTTTACGTCCATAACCTCTGGTCCTGTACTAATACAGAAAGGGGTTTGATCTCTTTGACGAAAAATACGAGCTAATTGGCGTATATTCCACCGCGGTCGCACCGGCGTTCGTTAGTCACGATATTCCCAGGAGACGTACCAGATTCTGGAGAACCGCTTTGAGAGATCGGAATTATTGTCTTTCGTATTATTTCCTTGCCGAGGCGACCAAGCGGCACGACCGATTTGCAACGATAATTGCAATCTACGGTATCCTCGAAACTTTTATCCGCTTCCCGCAATTATGTGTATTTCGCGGCGAAAGATATACGATTCGCAACGCACAAATTAGTCACCTTTCGCATCCACGTCTGGTAATTTAATGTTCTTCCTCCGTGGAGAGAGATATCGCGTGACAAGCTCGCGTATCGCATTATCTCACGTATTGTTAACTAAAGTATCACGAAATCATTTGTAAAACAATCTCGCCTATCTTTTCTGATTTAACAAGTTCTTGATATACCGCGCCATTAGGTGGCCCCTTTCATCCAATCAGTTTCCATGCAATTACCCCAGGGCAGGCGGATACGGTGAGGCTTCGCATTTCCGGGCCCAGCCAGATACTTCTCTCGCCATCGTCCGACGCGTTTCAACGATTCTTCACGTACACGTGTAACACATGATGCGCGGACGTGTTCACGCGCGACGGCAACGGTTCGAAATGTGCCGTTGTAACTAAAGCTAAACACCGCCTAATGAACGCATACGGGCGGCTCTTTGGCACAAAGGTCCTCTCTCTGCTTTATATAAAGCACGAGTGAGTTATTTACATTGTGGTCGACAGAATTTCAAGCTGCACGAGGTTCTAATGAACCTTTACCTCCTCAACCCACCTGCCGCTACCATCGCCTCCCCCACACACATCGTCTGACCGAACTGGCTCGTACGGGCCAACCAGCGTGTCGGGTCGTTAATTAATTAAAATCCCGAAGCGAAATCCGCATCGTCGCAAATATTTTAGATACCTCGAAAGCTTTATGAGGAAAATACTTCAAACTTCCTGACGCACCCCACCCCTCCCATTCGCCGCGCGTCTACGTCCACCCCCACGGGGAACGGGGATTCATTGCGAATAGCTGTAGAACCTTCGCCGCACGAATATTTACGAAGGGTGGCCGCGAATGCGGGGAAAAAAAGGAGTATTTAATGAAATGTACGTATGTCGAGAGAGAAAGAAAGAGAGAGAATCGGAAAAGGGATGCCATGGAAATCATAAAAATACCGTGAGCCAGAAAATCGTAGAATTTCAATCATCAGCATTTAACCACTATGCGTTTAATTTCCCTCGGTAACTCACACTGATGCGAATATTTTTTTGCGGTTAAAATAGTCACTCGCTCGTAATTAATAGGCACTCGCATTGTGTAATATATATGTTCGATTATACCACAAGTTTACATATTCGAGAAGAAACTCGAAGATATTCAAATTAATGAGAATGGATCAGTGGAATAAAAATGAAGCTGCGGTGCATCCTGCGGTACGTCAAAAATATTTAAAAAATGTAGCTATTATATTTTGCCATGTCGTAAAGCATTAGAAAAAGTGATGATTGTTAACTTTGGATACTTGGAAAATACTGCTACATAAAATTGACATCTTTATCAAAATTATCTTCATTTGAGAAAAGATCAATTTCCCAATTCAATCAATATGACATGATAAATGTTATGTAATATAATACAAGTTATCTCGATTTTGCAATAACATTAATTGTCACATTGATGCTATAATGCAATATTGAAATAATGCAAACAAGATTCTACTTTACAATCTGATTAGCGGTAACACGTAAATTTATTAAACGTGAAACAGCAACGTAATGCACAGCAAAATCACAACCCCGAACAACTTACGAATACTCCAGCAATGATGACAACCACTTTTTGAAATAGGGGAACCTTCAGTCCTCTAATCTCTGTACTCACCCCCGCCTTTTCTACGCTCCATTATTCTCTTCCTTTCTCTTTTTTTCTATCCCCCCCCCCCTCTCTCTCTCTCTCTCGACCGTGAGCTTGAGATTAAGGTTTTTAACGACTACACGTCGTGGCCATGTCCAACCGAATAATTACGAACATGAAACCTGACAGGCTTTGAAATTCGTGTGAGACTTTATTTGACGGGGTTGCAACTTGACAATTTTTCGCGAAAGTCAGGTCCATTATCGCCGAAAGAATAAAGCGTTATTATGCGTCATATAAATCGAGTCTGCCAAAAATTCCACATTTGTTTTTGTCCGACTTTTTCGAGAAAATGTTACGGTTTAATTGGTGCAAATATATAACCGAGGAAAACTGTTGCGCGTTATGGTCTCTGTACTTTATCGTTTCCTGTGTTTATCGAAGGAAAAGGGTGTAATTGCGTAGTAATTAATTACAGATTGCAACTCGTTAAAAGTGTTCGCAAGATGCCGATGATCAACCGTCAAACGAGACGTGGGAATATACTTCTTTCTTCGCTTCTTCCGACGGCGCTTATTACCGGCGACTTTTATCTAAGATGTTAGTTTCTCCAAGATCCAACACAAAAGGAAAGCGTCTTAATTAGACGGGAAGAACTTTAATTAGACAGTACGCTTAAGTGACATACTCAAGAACGACCTTTATCAAACTTGAACATAAGACTATAAAAGAGGAGAAAGAGGAGAAAGAAACCTGGAGGGATACGAAATCGAGACTTAGAAACTTATCGCAAATTTAATTAACCTAAATACTTAAGTATCTTTTACCCGAAAACGTGATACTCTATGTTCGAGCATACCATGTACATATAATAGAACTTTTTCGTATTAAATATAATTGAATGTAACAAAATAAAATTAAATAAATGCCGCTTTGAAAAAGTAAAACACCATTAGTCTCCTCCACAAAATCGCCGATTAAGTCGTTACATGTCAGTACAGCGTAATTATCCCTTTGTGTCGCGTATCCACCTTCATCCACTTAGCTTTTCAATTATCAAGCTCAACTTATGCGCGCAGTTTGCGGTGCTCCGATAAACCACCCTCGAAAATCCCAAGCTTGGCGAACACCAGCCCCGAAAAATACGCCAACCACGAAGGCTTAACATCTCGGGGGTGGTATTATCCGCGAGTGGTGGCGGGCAAATCCCCGGTTCTGCACGAGCCAACGCTTGGCTGGAGCAGATTGGCGGAGGAGATCAACGAAGTGGGCAGCGACGACCTTGCGCTTCCTGGCTGAGTTTAATCAGCCGTACCTATCCTGAGCCGTGCCACTACTTATCCACGGCTGCGCCTCGGCGCGACGGCACTTAATGGCACTTATCCTCGCGAGGAATTGGTGTGACTGGAAACTCGCTGTAAAATCCGCCGTTAAACCGCGGGACAAAGTTGAGCGCTATACCGTCGGACGGAACGTGCACCCTAGCGACTGCACCGTGCGAGTTCGATCCCGATATACTCTCGCTACATCAAGTCCCGCGAACTTGCGACGATCGAGTCACGATTGCCATGGCGTTTCTGCGCGACTGACTCGAACGGCGTGCGAAAGAGGATCAATCGCGAGGTATTAATTCTTCGTAATCGTTTAATTATTATTTAAGATTCTTAGGAAACTGTTCATTCAAGTAATCGATAAGCCGTGATTACTTCTCTGTGATAGAAATCATATTCTCACTTTTCACGTAATACATAACCAATTCTAATTAGTTTTATCGTACATATTTTCGAAAATAATTACAAAGAAACGGAATTTTGAAGAATTAATTCCTCCCTGCGTAAATATATTTAATTATAATTTTAAAACGCGCATACCTTTGTTGATTATTATTCGCGATAGGCATAGGAGTCGGCACTCTGGGTGGTGGGACCGGTATAGCTTTTCTTCGGCCTCCACCGGTTTGATGCACCGTCGGTGTTACTCTTCCTGTTGGTGCTATTCGACCGGCGGTCCGCGGTCTTTCCGCTCGCACCTCCATAGTGTATATCTATAACAAATAACATAAGATATTTTGTTATTTAAAAAATTACAAAAACAGTTTGCTTACGCAAAATAATTCTGCTACATTTATATTTTTGTTGTTTAACGTAATTAAATATTTGGTTAGCGAAAGGAAAATGTATTATAGAGAAATTCAAATAAATAAAAAGCTACCGGCGAGTTTGGCACAAAAGTATCGCTTCTCCGTAACTTCAGCGGCGCCGAAGATCACAGAAACGACGATAAATTCCGAAAGGAGCGAATGTTTGGAAAGGACTGACAAGAAAAACGAAAAAGAGACTGGGCCTGCACGACGTTGAAGCTTCTGCTTCACGATGTGTCGACTTCGCAGTTCGTCTCTTCCTCACGCGTCTGTTTCCCTTCGTTTATTCAAACTAGTTTAACGCGCTAAGCGGGTCTGGATATGATTCGGTAGCGTTATCGTTAACCCTAGAAATACCTCATAATACATGCAAAAAGTATTCGAAAGGCAAAAACAAAATCAATATACGTGCGCCACGATATAATTCTTCTAGTGAATTTATATAAAAAATAGAATGTAATTATAAAAAGATCAACTATAAATAAAAAAGTTTTTCTAGAAATCCATTATTTGTTATATACGCATACAATCGTGTTTATCTGCAGCCCATCCCCAAGACTTCTTTAAAAGATAGGATGTTTTGTCTGTGCAGGTAGAATGCAGATACGCAGCGAAGAAAACTCACGAACGTTCTCCATTCTCCACCATCCCCTTATTCACGATCAGCGGAAGAAAGAACGCGCCCGGTACAATCTCAGGCCGGTAGTGCAGCGTTTTTGTCGCGGATGCTTTAGAGTCGCGGGCGTGAAGAACGCCGGCAAAGGAGGAGACGAGAAGAAAAGGGGTGGTGGACGACCGGTGCGATCATTATTTCCCGACGTGTGTAGTCCACCGAGATAGGGAATGCTGGTGAAACAATGCGCGCCAGCAAGTTGGTTTAAATATTCAGCCTCCGACGCGGATACGCGTCATTCGCGCTCGTGTGCGCATGGGGATGCAGCAACTTGAAACCGTGCACAGAGATAAAAAAAGACAAGAACGTTACTTCCTGGACGATATAATGAAAGCAAAAATCATGACGTCGATAAGGTTAAAAATGAAGAATTACTAGATGTATATATATAAATATATATAGAACTAACAAAAATTATTAAGAAATTTTTGTCCAAACGAGAGAAGATAATTACTATTGTAATTTTAATATCTTTCTCTTTTTTTCTTTTCTGTTATTTTTGTCTATCTATTCGAAAAATTAAAACTTTTATCTTAGGTCGTAATTATACATAAGTAAAAAATTGTCTGCCTTTATTATATAAGAGGATGCAAGTAGATATTGTTATAACTAATTTGTACATTGTAAAATTATTTATATATACATATATGGAAAATATATTATAAAAGCCTTTCTTTTCTTCGTGGAAAACTTATTTTTAATATTCTAAAATAATTAGTGACTAAATTCTTCAAAAAGTCTCGCGTCAAAACTAACTTTCTATTTCACTGTACATGTCCTTTTCATTTTCCCTTTTTTCCCCCTCTCTCGCATATTTGGGTCCACACATAGGCATGAAGATTTCACGATTGCACGGATTTGCGTGTAAAAAAAAACTCGTTGCGCTGCACGAACGAGGGCAAAGTATCGCAATGTTGGCGACTGTCGGAGACGAGCCGGGAAAATAAACCGCAGGCAACGGGAGTAGCACCGGCGGCGGCAACGGCGGCGGCTTCACAATGGGGAGCATCTGCTTAGCAAATTGCGAAAAATAATAACGTTTGCGCCGAAATCCGTGGCACGGAGCACCGTAGGAGTCTGCCCCGTGGTATACATCGTAACACAATAACATCCACTCGTGGAACTACGAACTCGGGGGGCCGGGAAGGGTGAATGCGAAGGCGGAAGAGGATGAGGAGGATGAGAGGTGCAAAACGAGCGCCGTGCTCCCCTTTCGTGGTGGTGCACCCGTGAAAACAATATGTCACGTATATACGTGGAAGATCGTGTACGCGTGTATGCTTGTCACGCGTGACACCGAGTTATCCAGCCGAAGGCGATTCCGGTCGACTTCTTTGACTTTCACTTCCGCACCTTTGACAGTGAATGCATCTCCATCATCCGTGCGTGTACCCTGTCGAAGATTCCGTCGAGAACTTTGAGGTTTCGAATCAACGCCACGATCGATCCACGGTAACTCGTAGCACTAGGCATTTTCATCGGGCTCCTTTATCATGGAGAAAAATAGTATATCGATAACCTAACATTTCTTAAGTGTTCCGTAATCTATCTTTTGCAAAATAAGGAAAAATTATTAATTTTATTTTAATATAATGTAAATTTTTGAAAATGACGTAATATTAATTTCATTTTTTAACTGTCTATTTAAATATATTACCTGAAATATATTGAATTGAAATATTGAACGTGAATAGTAACGGAAACGCCGCTAACGGTCAAGCTGGATGTTAGTGTATAATTATATTTTTCTTCTCGTACACACGTTTTCACAATAATTAAGGCGCTACGCTATGTAAGCATTTTTATTTGAAAGAAAAATGATCGAGATCGAGATAATACGCAGTTTTATCGGAAGCCATCATGAGCCAGAGAAGTACGCGATTACCAATCTAAATTATTAATTCTATCGCTCACGGTGGAAATGGACGACCAATACGTTTAATGCGACATAATACGTTGGCATGACTAATTCGTGCCATTATCAATGATGCTAATCACCATCTATCTACGAGGGTAATGAATACCGCAAATTAATAACGTTCGATTGACACGTAACGTCCGAGCTTCATCCGCTGAGCGACGTGCACATTGTGTTCCTAACAAGAGCGCGAGTTGCCCAACCCCTCCAACTCTTTCATTACACGCATGTTACACATCGATCGTTCGTTACGCACGCACCTTCCGGCGACGATCGAAAAACGTCATTAACGAGAAAAAATATTTCCAATTTGACAAGTAGAATCGAATCCAAAGAATTACTCATGTTTAACAGGAATAAACGTGCGATGTTCGTGCACAATAATTAATTTGTGCATCACCATTGATCACCGCTAATGCAATGAACGAATTACGGTCGACATTAACACGTAATATTTTTAATAATACGATACACACACGTTCCACCGACTCTCAATTCAATTGTAATAAAACTGGAATCTTCTAAGGATTAAGAAACAAATCGCTATTGACGACAGATGCATGTGTCGTTATTTAAATGAGAATTATGCCGACAATGTTTAATATTGAATTTTACATTAGCTTCATTATCTCATGCATTGAGATAATCAATTAGATTATCATGCCGATCGCCACGAGCGAATACGACAAATTAATAACAGTCGACTGATATGTAATATTCCAGAATGCATTTTGCAGTCCCCTAATTCTTTTATATTCGCACCAGTCATTCATCGAGCGCGCGCGTGCTTTCGGATCAGAACGAAAAAATGTTATTAACGAGTGAGATAAAAGGGCGCCGAAAAAAAGGTATTTCGTTTTTCGCGAGGAGAAAGGAGAGGGGGAGGGGGGGAATTCAAAGGAGAATTTATCGGCGATATTTCTCGACGTCGCGCAATGTCGGCTTCTGTCGATTCCTATTAATCATTGGCGCACAACTGCGCGTACCCGTATCAACACGCGGGCCGAAGATACATGCCCGGGAGTTTCTCATGCCGCGACACGATCGCCACATGTGACCACAGTCCGACGCTCTCATGGCGATCGCATATCGGGGCATCACGTGCGCGACACGCGTGTAACTAGCTTCCTTCTCTGTTCTTCCTTCTCTCCTTTTTTGCTCATAACTGCATTGCAATAGACCATCCCGTTTGCGGGCCGACAAATTGAAGTCAGCAAGTGCTGTTATCGATAGACATCGAAAGTAGGATATTTCCTCCAGATCGCAGACAAGTGAAATTAAAAAAAAATAAATTTTCCTGTTTACAAATCAGTGGTACATATCCAACAACTAAAAATTAGAGTAATGTAGAAAGGTAATTTTAGCTTGTACATTAATTCCAAATGAATTTTGGTTAAGTACAATCTAGTGCCTTATTCGCAAATGCGTGTTTTCATATGTAGAAGTATTTAATATTAAATTACTTTAATATTTAATATAAAAAATTTTATGAAAATGACATTTAATTAAAATGTAATTAAATTTAAATTGAAATTTTATTTTGCCATTTTGTCAAAATATTATATTCCATTTCATTATATTAATTAATATTCTCTGTTACCATCTCCATAAAAGTTATGTAAACGTTACTATAGACTATATAATGTGCTGTTATAACGTTATGTAATATTACTGATGAATATAAATGATATTTCTCAAATGTATTCTTTGAGCTGTACAGTTCGTTATTATATTTATATTAATCATCATGCGGAAAGTTTCCCGAAAACTCGTACGCGCAACAAGCGCACGCTTTTCCTGTTCCCCTTATGTTTGTTTAAGCAAGTAAATGATCTATGTATCTTGTCCGCGGCCCGAGACGGACGAGTAGACTTTATAAATTCAGGACAAATTAGTTTATCTTCGAGCGATGTTTACTATACACTAAAAAGCCAGCGGAACCGCACAGCCCACCCACACACAGCTAAATCAAAGGCCCCGCTAAAAATATAACATGTTTCTCATCACAACACCCCTTCCCGCTTTTCCTTCACTTTATCCCCCTCTAGTCGTACGTCTGTCCAGGAAGTTGACTTGGAGTATGGAAAGTATAATTACACATAAATATTAACAGTAATTTTTTGCAATCGGGTCAAACTGAGTAACTCGACAAAATATCGATAGTCATTAAAAATGTTAGGAAACAATAAATATAAATTCATTGTTAATAGTAATTGAAAAGAACAACTACTTTTATTAATAGCAACTTACTGGCAGTGAGAAATAAGAAAACATATCTATCACGATTGTTAAATTTCCATTCCAAAGGTAAAC